TTCGGAAAAAAAAAAAAAAAAAAAAAAAAAATCTAGTGTGTTCATCATAAATTGGTAAAAAAAACAAATCTTTCGATAATTTGACATAAAATAACATGTGGGGTTGCTTCGTTTTTTCAAGATCCGGAAGAAAGTGGAAATTAAACATAGGTATGCTTTTTTTTTTTTTTGGTTTTATTGGGAAACAGGGGAGCTGAAGAGGGCGCTGACGGCGGAGACAGGGCTGGAGGCGGCGGAGCAGAAGGTGATTTACAGAGGGAGAGAGAGGGAAAACGGGGAGTATTTGGAGGGTTGTGGAGTGAAAAACAGATCGAAAATGGTGTTGGTTGAGGATCCGGCCAGCATTGAAAGAAGATACACTGAAACCAAAAGGAACGCTAAGATACAGACCGCTCATCGGGCCATTTCCGCCGTCTCCATGGAACTTGATAAGCTCGCCGACCAGGTCACCTTTTATTTTTAATCTCTGTTTTTTTTTTATTATATAAATAAATCTAATTATATCAAAATTTTAATATTATTTCTAATTATTTCATTGCAGAAATAAATTATAAATTTTTTCCAACTCAAACAAATTTATTAAAAAATGAATTAGTCATTTATTTTAATTATTAAAAGTAAAATATTAACTCTTGAAATATCTATTTAATATATATTTTTAAAAAATTACCTTAAAATTTATTTTCCAATAAAAATTTAATTATATGCCTATACAATTTATTATAACTCAATCTAATTTTAGAAGAATAAAAAAATGGACGGAATTCTTAAAAAAAAATTATGGTATTATAAGAATTAACAATAAATTTAGATTTGTTTTATTTAACTCAACCTAAATTCTACCAAGTAATTATATCAAAATTTTAATATTATTTTTAATTATATGAGTGGAATAAAAATTATATTGCTAGTAAAAATTAAATAACTCTTAAAATATCTATTTATTTTTAAATATTTAATTAAAATTTATAACTTAATTTTAATATATATTTTTAAAAAATTAAATTTTAGTTTTAAAGTTGTGGGAATAAATATTCAAAAATAATAATAATATAAAATTAAATAAATATGCATGATAAAAATGTATATTTTAAAATTAATAAATTTAGATGAACAGATTCATAAAATTTTCATTTATTTGAATCTAACCCAACTCAAGAACAGTATCAAAATATAGCCACGATATCCATCACGACCCATCACGACAAAACAGTGAAAAACTCATGAATTATGAACAGGTTTCTGTAATGGAAGAGTCAATATCAAATGGAATCAAGGTTCCTGAAATTCAGATCACCACCCTGATTGAGATGCTGATGATGCAAGCCATCAAGCTTGACACCATTGCTGCAGAAGGAGATGCTTCTACACAGAAAATTTTGCAGGTAAAACATCTCTTCTCTGTTCATCATAAAACCAAACCAAACCTGACCGAATCGAACACGGAGAGCCCACCGTAGCAACAATAGTGCTATGAACGTCGAGTTCTATACAACCCCGAATCGTCAAAAAACGATACCAACTCATAACTCAATCCGATTCGACCTTGTTTTTTTTGATTGCAGGGTAAGAGAGTGCAGAAATGTGTTGAAATGCTTGATGTTTTGAAGGTTAGAAATGCAGGGGTGGAAGTTGTGAAGCCTGTGATTGTTACAACCAAATGGGAGACGTTTGATCACTGGCCATCTCTCATTGATCTTTGATCCTTGTTTTTTTCATATGTTTTTTTTTCGAGTTTTCGAGGTAACCGAACGACGAAACCGACAGTTGGAATGGTTTAAGGTTCCTGCTGAATTATTGAATGGTTTAAGGTTCAAACAGTACACTAAAACTAAAGCAACTGAGCTAGTAATCAATTACTTCTATGTTTCTCAACTCTCAAGGCCATCCCAAACAAAAGCAGGTTTTGGATTAGGAGTTAGTATGGGTGTGTGCTACTGTTTCTAGTATAAACTCGAGCAGGAAGCGGTGACTAATCGGTATTGACGCGCTCGTGTTTCTTGATCTTGACGTGTTTGGATATCTCAGAGTCAAAGCATTTGAACATATGTTCCAATTCAGAGATCTCATGCTCAATGTCGATTTGATTGTCGTCGTCGCTTTGTATGATCATTTCTTTGAAACTATGAATCCTATCGAGTCCGACTCGAACTCGATGTCCCATTTCTTCCATTCTTGCATTAGCCCCATTTCTTCTCTCTTGATATTCTTTGAGCTTTCGCTTCAAGGATCGGTAGGCGTCGAGCGACTTGAGAAGCTGTTCGGTCAAGGCTTTGTTTCGTTTTTGGAGGGCTTCAATGCTGCCTTGGGCATCAGGTACATTGTTGTTTTTTAACCCTCTATGCTCTGCCACACAAGCTTGAACTTTGCACATTAGCATTTCATTTTGTGCTTTGAGATCATTCACATGTTCTTCCATTCCATGCAATTGTTGAACCGTCCTCGCTAGCTCCTTAGCGATGATCTCCTTCTCCTTTCCGATGCTTGAGCATATGCTCTCGAGGCTTTTCCGAGCTGCCATGCTTGCATTCAGCTCTCTCCTCAACTTCTCCTTCTCATCGGTTATTGGTTCGTTCGTTGGTTTTTTGTCCCTCGGAACGTTTCGCCTAAGATCCGTGTTGCACCTTCGAAGCCCGGCTTCCTTTCGCTTACCAAGAATTTGTGCTCTTTGGATTTGGGATTTGACTTCATCAAGTATAAGCATCATTTCAGATATCCTTTGATCTCTACTCCCATTATTGCCTTTCATGGAAGCCTCTTTGTACTCATGGATTAGTTTCAACAAAATCCTCACATTCGTAGATACTCCTAAACAATCAAATACAAACTCATCATATATCTCGAGAAGAAACAAAGAAAAAAACAACAGAACAAGTCGACGAACCGATGAAGTTTTGATCGACATGGGGTTGTCGTGGACTTGTGGAGCCCTCGACTAATTCAGGGGACGACAATGCTCGAATGCGGGTGATGCCGGCGGATTCCATGAGGAGGAGGAGGAGGAGGAGGAGGAGGAGGAGGAGAATTCAACGATGCTAATTAGAAATGGTTGAAGAAAAAGAGAGACTGGTTTTTGGCTCAATCTCTCCTTTCCTTCTTCTTTGTGTTTGCAAAACAACGGGTTCTTTTGCCTTTTGTTTGTGTTGGGATCCAACAAATATTCTATGTTTTCTTGGTGCATCCATGTCTGAAAATGGTCGGTTTTTGCTGTGATCCTCCGCAATCATTGCTCATCCATTGACCTTTTCATTTGTTTTTCTGTTTTTTTTTTTCTTTCTCCCTATTTACTTGGATCGTTTGTATTGGAACTTATACATGATATGTTATTTAATCTTTTTAATTTAGGTTGAATGAGAGGTTACATGTAAAAATGTTTATTTAATTCGTGGAGCTAGAGATCTACTCCAATTAGCACGAGAGAGTCGAAAGAGATTTCTCATCGTTAGCTAAATGAGACTAGAGATGAAAATTATATTCTCGGTTCCCGTCCTTGCCATAGATAAATGAGGTTGAAGACATAAATTATACTCTCTATTCCCGTCTTTGCCCTAGCTAAATGAGCTTGTGGATGAAAATTATATTCTTCGTTCCCGTCCTGGCCCCCTATTCGATTTTTGTTCCATCGTCGCCCTAGCTAACTGAGGTTGTTCCTATCCTCACCGGTTCCAAAACAAAAATTCATCCAAAAACACTTTGTTGTAGTATTGAAATTTTAGTTTTTATATATTATTTTGAATATTGATTGAAATAAGAGGGATAAGGATAGGGATGAGGACAGTAAACGTGAAACATCCGAAGTCTATTGCTAGTAGATATTGTTTAGTTTGTCCCGTTATATATTACCTTCAGCCTCACGATTTTAAAACATATCTACGAGTGAGAGGTTTTCATACTTTTATAAGGAATGTTTCTACAACCAAAGTGGAATTTCACAAGGCTTCTTTATTCGAGCCTACTCGGTAGACATCTCTTCTAATAACCATGTAAATTTATATCTAATAATATGGGTTTAAATCAATCTTTTTTAAATATTTAAAAAATAATAAAAAATATAGACATTTTGCATAAAAAAAAAATAGAGAGGGTTGTAATTCAAAAATTAACATTGATTTGACTATAAAAAATAAAATTAATATTTTAAAGTCTATTTAATTGAGGGCGGACCCCCACCGGCCCCCTTCGCCGTGTGGCTTAGTCCCATGCTCCACCCTTTCCACCGCCTATGTCCCTCTATGCCAATTTTTAACCAATTATTTTTAAAATTTTAATAATATTTCAAAAATACGTTTACGTTTCACAAATATAAATTTTAAAAATACCTATAAAATTTTGAAAGTTGAATTAACACTATTTATTTTTATACAATTTACCATCAATATACGGACAAAAACAAATTATTTACATTTTATAAATTATATCCAAACATTTTAATATTATTTTTGAAAAAAATTTAAATATGCTTTTGAAGTTTTTAGAAAAGTTAAACAAGGGTGTTTTGAAACATTTTTTTAAAGTGATATTAAAAAGACATAAATTAAAATATTGTTTTAGATAAATTCATCAAAATTAAAAGGATTTAAAATATATATTATTAATTTAGATATTAAAATAGGTGGAAGAAGAAAAGAGAATTGGTAATTAATTAAAAAGCAAGCTCTGTGTTGTTGTAAAGTATAAAGCTGGCGAATAAAAGCTTCATTCAATTCTGTAATAAATGTAAAATTATTATTAATCTCAGATTTACGTACAAACACACAAAATTAAAAAAAAAACAATAAATAAATAAAAGAAAAGGTGTAGGGTGACGGAGGTACGTGGTGATAGGACCATAAATGACCAATGAAAATTACAGACGTGGTAATCAGTAACAGTGATTTCTTAGCGGGCCCCACCTATCCCTTCTATCAATGCTCACAGTACATCCCCCACCTGTCACTTTAGCAGGCCTACTCCCTATTCCCTACTTTTCTCCCGAATTATTTTCAAATTATTATTCCTTTTTTCCTTTTTTTTTTCTATTTTAATTAAAAAAATCCATAGAAATAAGCCGCGTAACGCTACAGACTACCTCTCATTCTCTCTCTAGGCACAAGTTACGTTGCATGCCCACCTCACGTGACCCCCCTCTCATTAATTGCTTTTTTCTTTTTCTACCATTCTTTAAAATATATGAAATTTATTATTATTATTATTATTATTATATATATCAAACCAAGTTCTTATAATTCAAATATTAAAATAGTAAAAGAAAAATAGTCGGAAATTAAAAATAATAATAATAATAATAAATAAAACGTCTATCTTTAAAGAACGATAAATAAATAAAAAGATGAAAATTATTGGGAAATAAATGAAAAGAATTAGGGTCAGTATAGTATAGGTCTGCGACGCCGTTTTGGCAATGAAGAAGAAATGGACTTATTGTCAGTGTGGGACCCACCTGACCTTAGGGTTCAAATTCTGACGCCAATCTGATGTATTATGGTTGAAAAATTAATTGTACCAAAATAATATTTACTTTTTTTTTTTTTTTTTACTTTTTTACGGTTTTACTGGTAGGTAGTTGTCTGGTTGACTTCTGATTGTAGTTTTACCACGTTCTAATAATTATTACTCTCTTCATTATTTTTCTTAATTAACTCTGTCTAATCTCACATCATTTGCTCTTAATTTTGTCCCTAACTTCCTTGTTATTTTATTTTTTTACCTTGCGAGTAAGATTGAAGCTTAATTTATTGTAGTCTCCCTAAAATGTCTCTTTTTAACACGAGTGGAAGGCTCAATTGTCGACCGGAAATCTCCACGTCACCATCTCCTGTTCATGCCCAAAACTTAAACCCTATCTCACTTTACTTGGAGAATCCTCAATTGTCGACGGGAAATCTCCACGTCAATCCTTGCAAAATAAATGGAGAATTTTAGTGTGGTGAGAGTAAAAGAGGTGGGATCGGAGATGTGGAAACCTTACTCGTCTCGGGCATACTCAATGGACACCTTTATTTATAAGAAAATATAAATCATGGTTTATAATTTTATATAGGAAGAAGAAGAAAAAATGAAAATGAATATGTATGATTTGTAATAGATTAGAAAGATTAATTAGGAGGAAAAGGGGGGACACGTGGCGAAAGGGAATTGGTGGGTAGAGACAGGTAAGGAATTGTCTTGTTTGGGTACAGTGTTAAGACAAGAAGAGGAAGGGGGGAGGGGGACAGTGCTTTAAAGATGCCTGTTTTGGCTGCCTGGTTGGCAGGTGATCACCAGGTCCAGGACACTCCATGTGTTGTCAAAACGGTCCCGTCTTGATCACTTCTCACATAACCCCCCTTCGCACTCCTTCTCACGTCTCCACCACGCGCTCTACCTTACCTCTTCCACCCCGCGCGTGCTTCCTCACACCCCCTTCCAAAACCCTCGCAAAGTTCCGCATTTACAACCTCGACTTGTATGAAATTTTATTTATTATTATTATTTAAATAAAGAAAAAGAAAAAGAAAAAGAAAATCTTTTTTTTTATATTTTTATTATTACATGGTGTATGTTTGCTTCGGCTTTACCTCTAAAACTCAAATGCTATAATCTTTAGATTTTGTTTTATTTTTAATTTTAAATAAAAGGGTTTGATGAGAGAATCTTAGCCGTTCATGCTTTGGGTTTGCCCCAATTATTCCCCACATGATGAATATATCTTAAATGTCTAAGCATTGCCATTTGTGGGACCCTTTTTACAAAAATAAATAAATTAGGGGAAAGGCTTTTTTGTTTTGGGTAATAGAGATAATTATTTATGTTTTATTATTATTATTATTATTATTTAGGGGAAAGGCTTTTGATTGATTTATGGAAAAAATTAACCAAAAAAGGATGAAATTAATTTTTTTTCTTTTTTTTTTTCTTGGAAGTTATAAAAATGGGAAAATAATATAGTATCACGAGGAGGTCACTTAAACATACGTCAAAGTCGATGGGGAGAGGTGGAAAATGGGAGCAGATCGAATATACACGTTTGACTGTCATCTGCCAGTTAAAAAACCCGGCTGTGTCGGTGCGCCACGTGGCCTTCCTACCCACCGTCGATTCCTTCAGAAGTAATCGAACCCAGCTGAATGAGCCGGCTTCACCTTGGCTTTGCTTGACGCTATCGGCTTCGGCTTTGGCTTCTGCGGAACTACAACGCCGGGAACTTCCGGCGGAGTCAGCGACCGAATGAGGGCGAAGTTCAGGCTCTTGAAGAACGGGTGCTTTTTTATGTCGGCGGATCCGCGTTTCGACCCGAGTCTTCGGGTCGGGTCTTTGTTTAGCAACCCGGATATCAGGTCCCGCGCGTGGTGTTCAAGCGTCCCAGACGACCCCGTGGTCGGAAACGTCAACGGCTTCTTTATGATGTTCCTTAGCGTCGTCTCGTTCGATGACGCTGCGAAAGGCGTCCGGCCATAGATCAGCTCGTAGAGAAACACTCCGAACGCCCACCAGTCGACGGCGTTGCCGTGGGATCCGCCGGCGGCAACTTCCGGCGAGACATATTCATGGGTACCGACGAAGGAGCACGACCGAGCGGAGACAGGCTCCGCAACAAAGAGCCAGTTGGGTGTCAAGGTTTGGACCTTCCGCGACCGGAAAAGCCGATTATAGAGGCAGGAAAATGGAGCTGTGGAGGCGGCAGCGGCGGCGTTGGTTCTGGGGAACGCCGTTGAGTCGGGCAATGCCGGATTAGGGGAGGAATTCGGCGATTCAACGGCTGGAGTAGCGTCGGAACAGAGAGATAAATCGAAATCCGATAACATAATATGACCATCTGATCGGACGAGAACATTCTCCGGCTTAAGGTCTCTGTAAATAATTCCAAGCATGTGAAGATACTCTAAAGCAACAAGAACTTCAGCGGCGTAAAACCTGAATATTATGCACAAAATTAATTTAATAATATCCATTGAAGGATACATCGCAGAAAGCTAAAGCAGACAAGATTGTAACATCTCAGGTTTTGACATCACAAGCAAACAAAAAACATACTGAAACCTGTGAATTCAATTATATATATATTTATATATATAAACATTAATATTTTAATTTCAATCGTTCCAGAAGAGTTGCAGCTTTCCAGGAATCTACGTAGAATCTCAGTGTGTTTCCAGTGATGATGAAAATGGATAAATAATATAAAACAGAGTTTTAAGGATGCTCTGTTTCTGTACCTTGCAGAGGCGAGAGAGAAGCGTTTCCGCGGCTGTTTATGGCGGAGAGAATGCAAATCGCCGCCGGAACAGAACTCCATAACGATGCAAGAGAAATGGGAAGCTTCAAATTCAGCGTAAAGAGTAGGCAAAAACGGATGGTCAAGCATTTTCAATATTTTCCTCTCCATTTCTGCTCTGTGCACCTTTTTCTTCAATTCCAGAGCATCCTTATCCACCACTTTCATGGCGTACAAACAGGAATCGTCTTCTTCATCTTCATAACAACCTTCGGTTGAGTTTCTAAGCTGACATAGGTAGACGGTGCCAATGTCACCGGCACCGATGCGGCGGAGGAGACGAAAATCACGGAAGGTGAGTTTGGACTTCCGACGACGAATAGCAGAGTAAGCGAAATCAGATGATCGGTGAGGCTTTAAATCGAGACTCTCCGGTGAGGATCGGGATGTGGGTAAATCAGTGGCGGCGTCGAATGAGAGACGACTGAAACTGCTGCAACTGTCACTGCTCATGGAATTTTGACTGGAATTGGAATTAATGGCGGATTCGTAAGGTAGGTCCTCCCCGTCTGAGCCTCGTGCGAGCTGTTCTAACATTTCTTATGGAGAAACAGAAAGAAACCCAGAAACCAAATACGAAAATCGAATCGAATCGATTATAGAAACAATGAATTGAAGTTGTTGTAGAAAAAGAAGAAGAAGACCCAATGCGGACATTCGAATCAGAAGAAGGGAAGTCGGCCTGTATCTGACTCTGTAGCTCGCTCAGAAGCAATGCTTAGAGAGAGAGAGAGAGAGAGAGAGAGAGAGAGGGAGAGATGGAAGCGCGAGGAAGTAGTTGTGGGGGTATTTATGCGTTGGGCGTACGGAGATTTTGATTCTCAATCTTGGTTAAAAATCAAATTCCCCATTTTAACCTCCTTTTCATACTCAAATTATCTATTTCAATTTTCTATCTCCATTAAAAAAAAATTCATTTATTTTGCATCGACCCCGATGAAAAATTGAACAAGGACGAGAATAGAGAATACAATTGACCAAGGAGTGGAGACGGGGAAGCCTACCTGTCTTTGCCTTCTATTTCAACCTTTAGTGAGAGAGACGAGAATTTGGGTAAGAACAAGAATCGAGAAATCTTTTCTTGCTCCCTCGCTGGAGTGGTCGGGACCCTGCATGATAAAGGAGCATCTTTGTGTCTTAAGCTTATGACCTCCTATTTCAAGCTCCTTTTTGTGATAGGTGGGATCATGCACGATAAATGAACATCCCTATTTCAATCTTTTTTTTCGTTCATTTCTTAATCGATTCTCCCACCTTATCATTTTATCACGAGTGAGTGGAATTTTAGCTCGTGTATTTTTTCAGCTTTGTGCTTCAATCCTCATCCGTGTCGAGATTGGTATCTAGTTAAAGTATTTTTAAGTTAATACCTAATTGATCAATAAAATTAAAAAAAATCTTCTAATAAATTTTAATTAACAAATTTAATATTATAACTTTTCATTCATTTAAAAAATAGAAAATATATTAAAAATAAGAAATAAAAAATTAAAAAACATTTGAAGGTGGAGGACATATTAAATTTAAAATTAAATGATGATATTTGACACATTTAAAAGGTGAGAAAATTGAATTTATTTTAGTTTTTAAAATTTTCTCTTGGAAAAGTAGATACATTAATAGAAGGATGGGAGTCAAATATTTGTCGTGATTTAATACAAATAAATAAGATTCTGACGTGTATTTATTGGGTAATAAATACAACTCCTAATAAATAAATAAAATATTTATTAAAATATTTCTAATTCTAATATTAAAATTTAAATATTTAAAATTGATGCATTTATTAGAATGTTATACATTTTTTCTAATAAAAATTATATTAAAAAAAATTATCTCTTAACTCGTTTAGGTCATGTTCAGTAGACATCTCTACTTACAAATAAACTATTATTTATATATATACAATGGCACGTGACTCCAGGAAGGGATGGGTAGAGTTTAGCACGTGCTGGGGAAGTTGTATCCGTTAGAGGAGCCGTAAGTGGTTTTTAGGCGTAGATGACGTAATCAAATCGGCACGTGCAAGGAGGTAGTTTCTGCTGTTGTCACGTGGCATGCGTTGCTTCATATTATTTTCTTTCTCAATTTATTAATATTAATAATAATAATAATAATAAATAAATAAATAAACATTATTAAAGCGCGTGCAGTCTCGAGGCGCGTGAATAACCGTGTTTAAGCTTTACCAGTGAAAGAATTTGGCAGTTCTTTTCTCCTCGTTGGTTACTGGGTCAACCCTTTGCCGTCCTGCAAGCTGCAACCTTTTTAAATATTTATTTTTTTTAAAAAATACATTATAAAATTTATCCCTTTAATAAATAAATAAATATATAATATTAGAAAATAAGATTGAAAATATATATATATATTAGTTGTTGAGCTATTTTTTTTAATTATCTTAAAAATCATACTAATTTAATATACATATCTATTCATAAATTTACAACTAACAATGCACCACTAACCTTAGTTACAAACGTAAGATGTTCTTGAGGTTAATCAGTTAAGTTGACTCAATAAAAAAATGTCAACTTTTGAGCTGAGCTAAATTGTCTTGGATTATTTTCCGTCTTTTTTATAATTAAAAATAATTATTAAAAAAAACAAGAGATTAAAATAAAGGTCGTAGGGGACAATGGTGGAATTAATAATATTGGATCTCAAACCCGAATTAAGCTTGAACCTTCATGGAAGTTAAGCCGACCGTTTGGAAACAGAGTTAAAGTGTATCCCAACTAAGTGACATCCACAAATGGTAGCAGGGCCAAGTGTTTTTTTTGTTTTTTGTTTTTTTTTTCTCTCCTTATACAATGCAACCTAATCTTAATGAAATTATTTTTTTTAACATAATCGTAATAAGAATAAGAAACGGTTTAAGCTCACGACTAATAAATATTATTTATTTTGACTCGTTACGTATCGCTGTCAGCTTCACAATTTTAAAATGCGTCTATTAGAAATATATTTTCACACCATAATAAATAATATTTTATTTCTCTCTCCAAATAATATAGGATCTTATATTTCTCACCTCAATCAATGCCTTGGGTTTTCAAGTCATATTAATACCTCCAATTTTGTTTATTAAAATTAGGTTGAAATTTTAACTTAATCTTAATGCAAAAATTTTAATTCCGTCTATATCCGTAATATATATGAAAACGTAGATGGAATTTAATATTTTTTAAAATGATAAAATTGAAGTGATTTAATTTAACGACGTGAGTTGTTTAATCATTTTTAGGCTTTTAACTCATTTGATCATATAATTTAATACGACGGATGAATTTGATGGGGTCGGTTGTTTCAGTTATTTTAATAAATTTAAGTTCGTTATCGATACTTTCTATCAAATTTAAGTTCATCCAAACTCTATTATTTATGGAAAGAAATCTATTAAAGATTTCTGTATATTATAAAAAGAAAAAAATGTATATTTTCAAATTATTAAAATTAGATTTAAGAAATGATTATTGGATGAATGGTATTCAAATAAATTATAAACACCCAATAATGAGAGATCATCCCTACATGAATTATTTATATATATATATATATATATATATATATATATGTGTGTGGGGGAATCTTTTAAAGAACCATACATTCATTTCAATAAAATGTTTAAATAAATCAAAATATATTTCAGAGTTTCGACATTCTCCTGCATTCTATTACATGACAACGTTGTCTACTTGTCTTGAAATGCTTTTACGAATGAAAATTATTTCTATTCTCAAGAACATTTCTACATATCGACACGAGTCTTTTGCGCTATTTTGTCAACGTGAACGCGCTTATACAAAATTTTTTAAAAGATCACTCAACATTAGTGTGATACTCGAGTAAGAGTATATAAATGAATCAAAACCATATCTAAATGAGAGCAGAATTAAATGACTATGACAAAGTTATTATCTATACTAATAAAGTGCTCATTCATTTCCCGTAGCTCACATGTTTCTTACGATAATTTCTCTAAGAAACATGTGAATAAGGAAAAGACATGCTGAAAGTACTGATGTTGGTGCGTGTGGATAATTTTCCCTCTTAGAATGTCGAGGCTATCAGGTATCGAATTCGGATTCTGAATCTGGGGTATAGATCGTTACAATAAGATTACACTTGTTGGTATAAATAATCGTAACTATCGATTCATATAAGTATTTCTTATCGATTATATCGGGAGGATGAAATATTATTTTATATTTAAAAAAAGAAAAAAGTAATATATGAAAGAAACATGAGAGGTAGTGAGGAGACAGATTGGACAGATAATAGATACCCACATGGCCAAAGACAACAGTACGTACATGACATGTCATCAATTTTGCAAGCAATTGGATGAGGTGGACACTTCATTTGGGGTCTGAATTGACTTTGATTTGAAAAGTGGGTCCAATTTTTTTTTTTTCTTTTATTTAAATTCTACAATAATTTTCGTAATTTATTTATTTTTAGGGTCCCATGATATTTGCACATGAAATTGGTTGTTTTTCAAAAGCCCAACAAAAAGTGCACCAAAAGAATTGGTATTTGTATTTCTACCCCCAAAAGAAACCCTTCCTTCCATTGTGTTTGTCAACTCTTATTACAAAACCAAACTTTCACTATTTGCACACATGGGCTTCTCTAACTTTCATCGAACAATAACTTTTCTAATGGGTCCTTCATTTCTCGACGAATTTACTTTTTAGTCCTCTCTAATTCTAGCTTCAATTACAAGATTCGAACAAAGATCGTCCATGATGTATCGAGAGACGATAAAAAGACATAGCCTCGTACTTAGTTTTTTTATTAGGAGGATTAGACGTCTCCTAAACCTTATAATGCAGTATTATAAGTTAGAGAGTTTGAAGTTCTAGACTAGCTCGAGCCTTTTTCTTGGACCACATTGTTGATTAAGGGTTTCTTTTAAGTATTGTCGAGTAGTATGTGTGGTCAAATCGAGTCTCTACCGAATTGGGAATGATGAAAGTTACATGGCATTATACATGTTGTCATGTCTATTCGAAGTTTGCTTACGTTGGTTGAGTACTAGCATAAGTACATCCTACTTGTCAAAAAACTGTGTTATGATGATTGATAATATTTGTAAAGAGGTGTCGAGAGGAGTTCAAAAAATCTAATCAGTTCAATTGCGCTGGTTCTTTCAATCATGTAATGAAATTCTCGTTTAACTCACCAAACTCAAAAACTAATCTGGGTTAAATATTTAGATCTCGATTAAAAAAAAAGTCAATATCTCAATTCTCTTGATAGTGTTTTGATTTTATTTGACGAAGAGGTTAGAGGTTCGAATCTCAATTTGTTATTGAACTAAAAAAACTCGAGATTTTGATTCTCTCAGTGAGATTGTTTCTTAGATCTTACAACAAGTCATAATTGATAGCGTTAATTTCAAAAACTAGAAAGCAACAAAAACTTTATGAACCCTAAAACTTTGGTGATTCGAGAAATTTTTATTACCATTATTGACATTTTTTGTTAGGGGTATAGACAATTGTTGGTAATCCAAATCTCATTAAAACATCATTAGATTAAAATCCTTAACTAATTAATTAATTAATTATCCTTTCTTTTTATTTTGATTTTCGACCTGGCTCAATTAATGTAACTGAACTGATAGTAAGTATTGTTCTCTTCAAGTTTCTCCTTATAAGGTTTTAAAATGTATCTGTTATGAGAAGATTCCCAAACCCTTATAAGGAATATTTCGTTCTCTTCTCCAACTGATGTGAGATCTCACAATCCACCCTCCT